AAATGACTGTCAACGGAGATCGCTACAGAGACATACTGCAACGTTATTTTTTTGGTCAACTGGATGGGCTAGACATTAATGATATGTGGTTTCAACAACATTTTGAAATCAAAATTCGGTGAACGTGTTATATCGTTGTTATATCATTGTCCTATGTGATTTAACACCACTAGACTTTTTTGTGGGGCTACGTTAATTCATTGGTCTATGCCAACAAGCCGGCGTCGCTAGAGGAGCTCAGAGCCAATATTGAACGAGAGATAGCGGCCGTTTCTGTGTTGCCGAGTCATTGAAATTTGGGTTCAACGAATCGGTCGCTGCGAACATGCCCTTGGTGGACATATGAATGAGGTCGAATTCCATACATAAATGTTTTGACTATATTTCAATCATATAATAATAGAGATATCTCAAATGGTTTTCGTTTTATTTGAAAAGAAAGTTGTCAAGTCCTTATTATCTTGTAAAGTGAATACATATATCAGTGATGGTTAAGAGCTAAATTTAATACAAAGACAGACTGTAAAGCAACGGAAACAGCACATAAAGGGTTGTCCAATAGGGACGCAGGAAAGTAAACGTCAATTTGACTTAGACGCCATCTTTGTTTTCTGTCACCGACATGTCATTTTGTTAGTTGAATGTTTATCATTGATCGCTATGGAGTCGTACTCGATTGAAGACCGCATTACAGTTATTCAAGAGCACTACAAAAATGGTGCAAAAATAAAAAACACGTTTCGCGCGCTTCGTGAACATTTCCGTCGCAACAACCGCCCAAACGAAACAACCATCGGTCGTCTGGTGCGTAAATTCGAGGCAACAGGTTCTGTGGCAAATCTGCCAGGTTCTGGCCGGCCAAGGAGCGTTCGCACACCGGAAAATATTGCTGTTGTGAAGGAGAGTGTGAGAGACGAACCGAAACAATCAACAACGCGTCGATCCCAAGAATTGGGCATTTCGAGAACCAGTTTGCTCCGCATTCTGCACAAGGATGAATGTACACGCCTACAAGATCCAATTGACGCAAGAGCTGCGTCGGGCCGACCATTTTTCGCACCGAACGTTCTCAGATTGGCTCCTTGAACACCGCCAAATTGATGCCAATTTTTCATCAAAAATCATGTTCAGCGACGAAGCGCATTTCACTTTGAATGGGACGGTAAACAAGCAAAACTGCCGCATCTGCAACTGCAAATGCGGCCGGGGACGCCGTTACCGCCCATTCTGAGCGATATCACGTGATGATAGAGGACTATTTTTTGCCTCAACTTGAAGGAATGGATATGGACGATGTTTATTTTCAACAAGACGGTGCAACATTCCACACAACCAACGTCAATATCCATCGATTGCAGTCCTTCTTCGGTGATCGCGTGATTTCGCGCAGAGGAAATGTGCCATGGCCACCAAGATCGTGCGATTTGACTCCCTTGGACTTATTTTTATGATGATATTTGAAAAGCAAAGTCTACGTCAACAAACCAGCCACCCTCCAAGAACTCAAAAACAACATCATTGCCTCAAAAAACGGGGTCGTAATAGTTTACTACTGGATAGAGAAGAAATTGTGCTATGGAGGAGGGATTATTTAACAAAAATTGGGAAATATAGAAATCAAAACAGGAAGATTTATTACCTTGATGAAACGTGGGTAAACGCAGGACACACTACAAGTAAAGTATGGGTTGATGATTCTGTAACTTCATCCAGGAGGGCCTTTCTAGATGGACTGTCCACCGGATTAAAAAATCCAGCAGGTAAACACGAGTAATAGACAACAATCGGATGTTTTTCAAACCTTGGGGAAAAAGGTTCTAAACATTAATTCCAGGGGGCAGATAAAACATATTACAAGTAACAAAACTTTTATAACTTTCGATAAAATGCGTGGATGTTTTATTGTCATTTTCATTTGTTAGAACTTTTTTAAGCCATGTTTTTATGTGTTTTCGATATTTCAATAATTTTTTAATATAATCTTAAAATATGTCGAATATTATAAACTTAAAAAAAGTTACTAAGTTTTATATTGTGTACCGTTCCTAATATTTCTAATCATTTTAATTCATACTTTAAGCTTTATAAAGTTATAATTTGTTAATATTAATATTTGCGCGTATTTCAGGTTCCTGATCATTCATTTTTTAAAGGTTTATGACTTTAAATTAAATTGTGAAGCGCTGAGTAATCATACGACGTTCAATATTCTTTCTTTCAATATGACTAAATAATCCCAATTATATACTCATGTCTCAATGTTTTTTCGCTGAATGTGATGAAAACATTTGAAAAAGGTTCGCTTATTGAAATAAATCTACACCAGTTAGTACTTCGATTTCCAGGTAAAGGGAAAAGGCTCATTATCTGCCATATTGGCAGTGAGGATGGATTTGTTGTTGACGGTCTGTGGTGCTTTGAGTCTAAGAAAACTGGAGATTACCACGAGTAAATGAATGGCGAATCATTTGAACAGTGGTTTTCAAAAATTTTACCGAACTTGGAGGAAAACGCAGTAATTGTGTTGGATAATGCGCCTTATCATTCTCGAAGAATGGAGAAGGTCCCAACAACGGCTTCAAGGAAAGTTGATGTTCAAAATTGGCTCCGCTCGAAAAATATCAACTTTGAAGAAGCAATGCTGAAAGTACAATTATTAAGAATTGTCAAGGATCACAAGGCGGAATATCAAAAATACGCCATTGACGAAATGGCAGCAAGTCAAAATAAAACTGTGCTCCGTTTACCTCCATACCATTGCGAGCTCAATCCTATTGAGCTCATATGGGCAGAGGTTAAAAATTATATAGCTAAGCACAATACAACTTTTAAATTTTGTGACCTCAAAGGACTTTTCAAAGAAGCACTAGAATTAATAACAGCGCAAAAATGGGAAAACTGTATTAAGCACGTAAAAGACAAAGTTGAAAAGAGAATGTGGGAACTGGACAATATTTTAGAGGAACAAGTCGAGCCATTCATTATTGACGTTGGTGCTTCAGGCAGTAGCGATGATGAAAGCTCATCAAGCTCATCTTTCCAATAAAAGATGTCGTTCATCAAATTCGGTAAGTTATAAGTAATTATAAAGCTACTGTATTTTTTAATTAATTATTGACATTTTTGAACCCATTTTGGCAAAACCTATTCAAGAATCTACTTTCTGACAATGTTCAACCATGCACATTTTTTTACGTTTTGAACGTTTTAATTTGGTTACATATTTACCTAGAAATCAAAAAATATACTAATCAATATTCTAAAAGCAATTTTAAGAGATATACGATTATTTTTAATTTAGGCTAATTTAAACGCCATTTTGAGATTATATTCGACTGTATTTCACCAAACATCAGGCGGCATCCGAAGCTGGAAATCGAATCGAAAATTTTGAAACCCTTATGTATATTTACATCATTATATATTTCTTACCCCACCCCCACATGATCCTATATCCATCACCAATCGTATACACATCGAATTGTGCTAATTTACTACAAAGTTACGCAAAGCAGCATCTACTATCTAAAATATGTACTGCGTGACTCTTAATACGTCCCTGCCGAATGTTACAGCGTTCGATGATCACGTGGTCTTGTTTATGTCCGGTCTATCTCTTATCTGAATATACTGTAGACGGTAACCTCGTTGACTCACCAGGTTCGTCTCTATAGATTGTTATAGATCAATTTGACTCAGTCAAAATTAAATTTCTCACGTATCGAAAGGTATAATTGCACTGCGCACTAAAATGTGAATTAACTATGGGCGTTACCACGCCTCCAACCACTATAAGCCGCCAATATAAAAACGGAAAATAAAACAGACAAAACCACTCGAACCTACGAGTACGAAGGCGACAGAACACCCTGTAGAGAGTGTCGCGAGTCAACGTTGCATTGTTATCAAATCTTCCACTACGTTGCCGGAAACTTAACCAACCCTGAGGTGCGCCTGGCAATTGGATATTAAAAAAATGCTATCTCGCTACTTTTGTAGAAGCTTATAGAAAAAAGTCTTCTATAAACGTCCATTTCTTCAAATGACTCAGTGATATGGTTCACTATGACCACAGTGAAACGGCCAGTCTAGGAAAACTTATCAACTATTATTTGAGACTTTTTGCAAATATCCCTAGGATAAAATTTGATTTTCTGTTAGGTTTGATATAAATGCCATATATGTGGACCCACGAAGAAATAATGCATCAAATTACAATAGGTACATTTTTAAAACATAAAAGTACGTACATAAGATGTGACGTAGCCTAATGTTTGTTCATAAGGTCTCTGGAAGTAACGACGTAGTACCTATCTTCCTACAATGTGCATCCTACGTTACGGTACTGCTTGGGAAACCATCAGTGCTTTCAGATTATTGACATTCATGGCAGCAGCAATAACATGCAGGTTCGTAAAACGCTCACATTTGACAGCCCACCAATCCGCCATTTTGAAAGATAGTGATTTTACATTCTAAGCAGATATTCTTTCATATTTATATATAACTACCGCAAATCACAATAAAAATATAGTACGGATATAGTGCTTTTATACTTTTCCCTCAACCGATTTTGCCCGAAGCCTTTACCTCAGAGCTATCTTGTTCCCCATCAAAACTATTAATTCAATCCATTCGATTTGTACGACCGGAAAAGTTCGTCAAACATATATTAGATTTCCTGAAAAGTTGATCGTAGAAAGGCAATGTTGTAAAAGTATCAATAAAGTATCAATATTTTTCTAAAATCTCAATTTGTTGTCTGGTAGTTAGATAAATACGGGTCATTGAAGAAATATGGACATATTATAATAGTAAGTAATTGATTACGTTTGTTTGTAATCGGAAATATTGGCCTTGACCGAGGTGCTCGCATTAATCTTAATATCAGATTCGATATCTTTCATATTTTCTTAGAACATTATAGGAAATGATCTTTCGATTTCCACACCATGCTCAGAATTACAAAACTAATCGATAATATTAGAGGAAAAACTTACGTGTTTCTTGTCTTCCAAATAGAAGTGCCCTTTAATCCATAATATCGACCAAATCACAAACACCTCACTTAAATCACTAAACAAACAGCTTGTTGTAGTCACAGATGCGTTTTCTAATGGTTTTTATCTGAATCTTCGATCATCCGCAAGTATTTGTATTTATCTTATGCCGTAAGAACTAGCAAGCAAAGTGGTACCATTCAAAATTTGTTAGTCACTTTGGCTTCGGATCTGCGAGTTCGCACTGAGTAGGTTTTGATTGATTGATGATCTAGGATTGAAATGGCAGGATGAAAAAGTACGAGGTGCGATGATGCGCATGAATTATCATTCCGGGTATGCGGGAATTCCTACAGTGTAGCAGGTACCGCTGCTAGTGGTTCCGTATATATTTCGTACCACTTGATCAGCGGCGGATCGTAGGAGAAAATGGAAAAGGCTCATCAAGCCGTTTTGCTTTTCTTGCGTATTAGCCCCAGAATCGTACCCTGAGGTACAAAATAGCAAATCGTTGAGGAGCAGACTTCGAAACGCAATTTGTCCAAAATTTCCATTTTCAACTGTAAGTGAAACAAAGCACTTACGTATTATTTAGTAAATTAGTATCCCAACCTTGCAAAATGCAGAATAGATCCTAAATTGGTACGTATGGTTTGAATTTCCCGGGTACATTTATGTTGGTAACAGTTCTGTGTTGTGACATTGTCGCAAAGCTTGTCTGGTAATTACGCCAACGGCTGTTGTTTATTTGTGGTTTATTTCATAGTATCTAGTAGTTTTAAGGAATGTGGCAACCATGTGCGCTACTGTCATCATTTGACGCTGTGACGTAACTGCTTTATTCAGTGAATATACTGTACCTAGCTTATTTGCTACAGTTTCATAATGCATTGGCCATCCAAATCGCATCATGTCTTGCCTGTGAAATCCACTGACATGCAAAAGTCATTTAGTCCATCGACAATACGAGTAGTCAAGCCAAGAGCATTTTGTATTCATAAGACCACTAAACCGCGTTTAGTTCATAACGCACTGCTTTCAACGCTGTTTCAGCAAATTCGCGTGCATTTTGTGTTTATGTTTCATCTTTATCACAACAGACTGTGGCAATAAGGCCCGTATCGTCCTACAATTGTAGGGCGCGTTTATGGCCTCCTTGATTGTCATACTCCTTTCTCTCCTTCAATAATTTCTAGATTACACTTGTCCCGTGTCAGCGTCAGCGCTCTGCTAATGTGAAGATTAATTTTCCTTTTAAATTGAAGGAAATTTCAGGCTGATAAAACATGATATAACTCAAAACCAAGCACAATTTGATGCAAATTGATGTTTGTGACATAACCTCAAAATAGAGCGCTGACACGGAGAAGTAGAAAACTATGACAATCAAGGAGGCCATAAAGGCGCCCTACAATTGTAGGGACGACTCACGATATGGGCCTAAGTCAGCACAAAGTGCTATCTATCACCAAAACCGACCATTGCGAAAAAGAAAACACCAAGCTGTCAGTTCCAGGTCGCATTGTCAGCCGCCGATTCTGCCGATTTAAATCTTAAATTTCTCGGAAACGCGGGACGTGCATTTTGTGTCGGAGCGTATTATGAAGCCAATAAATCGGTTATTACTGCACGACGTTTGTATTGATATGAACACGGTTTACGCGATTTAAGAGAAGTTCCAAGCGCCAATGTGATACAGAAATGGATCAGAATGTTCGAAACAACCGGCTCGACAGTAGCAATAACCGCTCGTGATCGTCCAGTTTCTGCAAGATCAGCCGACAATGTAGAGCGTGTTCGTGTTTCAGTTCAGCGAAATCCGCAACAGTCAACACGTAATAGAAGTCAGGCTTTGGACATCAAAAGAACGAGCTTGCGGCGAATTTGAAGCGTGATTTGCATTTGAAGGCTCATAAGATTACACTAGACCAAGAATTAAAACCAGATGATGCCAATAACCCACTTAACTTTGTCAATTTGATGCTCGACCGGTTCAACAGTTTTAACAACGTGATGTCTAGTGATGAGGCCAATTTTCACCTCAATGGCCATGTTAACAAAGAAAATTGTCGATTCTGGTCTGAAACTGATCCCCGACGCAATGCATGAACGTCCACTTCCCAGCTCTAAACTAATCGTGTGGGCTGGAATTACGTCAACCGGTATTATTGGACCGTACCTTTTCGAGGCAGTTAAAGCTAACAATTATTGCAATATGAGAACAGACTTTTTGGTGCCAGCTTTGCAAGAACTCCAAGGCAATACCTCGAGAATGTGATTTCAACAAGATCGGACCACATGTCATACAGCTAGGGTATCTATAGAGCTGCTGAAAAATGTCTTCCCGGAAAACTCATTTCGAAAAGGGGGATATTGAATGGCCACCACGTAGCCTCAATTTTTCTCCATGGGATTATTTCCAATGGGGCTACCTCAAATCGATGGTTTACGAGAATAATCCAACTAATTTAGAGCAGCTGAAGAGGAATATTGTTCAGGAAAGTAACAAAATACCAAGAACAGCTTTTCAACGAGTTTTCCAAAATCTGCAGCTTTGGTTTCAAGAGTGCCTAGAAGCCGAAGGAAGTCATTTAAACAACATTATTCTTAAGTCTTAAAAATTCCTATCGTTCTACTTTTTAAGAATACATTTATTTTTCTTTTATATTGCGTAGTTATTTTTTAATTTCATATTGAATTTGCCAACACCTTCACGGCCCAGCGTTAGTTCGTCCTATCACAGATGGTGTAGCCTTGATCTTGGTGGTCAACGAACGAAAGCTAAGCAACTTTATTCAGCGTATAAGATTTATCGAAATATCAGCGCGAAATATCACAAGAATTGACCTCAGCGAAAGTGTGGCTGTCAGTTGGAACTGTATGCCAGTTCACATTATCGGCCGACACGTGTATTACGTGTCTTGAAAAGTGACATTTTTTTTTACACTTCGTAGGTTTTTTGTAAGATAAGTAGGTTTTTTAACAAGATGTTAGCTTAGCACAAGCCGTTGTACACTTGTTGTGAACTCGTTTTGTGGCTGTACGAGGGAAGTAGGACACAGTTTATCATCATGTTCCATTTACAGAGCGGACCGGTTTCCAATGCTGGGAGATACAGACGCTTTTGAGTGTTTTATGGCAGGTTGACTTATTGCCCAGCAAGAAAGACTTCCGGCTTCTACCATATGTAAATTTCTTCAGTTTAAACATTGTCATCAAACCTGTATGCTTTTATACTTGACAGGATATGGTCAGGACAGCATTTCAGGCAGGAAAGGTGACGTTATGGGTCTCCTAATCAGTCGCCGTGTGCTGCGCGGGTTCGAATCACGTACTAAACGAATTTTTCTCTAGGCTATGGATTGACGCTAGGTAGTAGACACAGACACATGTGTTCCCTCGCTACAGTAAATGTGAAGTCCCCCTCCCTTACCCCTGAAGCCTCACGGTACCATGAGTGTTTAGGCCTTAGGCCTTCGTTGTTGTTCGTGTATTAAAAAAAACCTGGGATGGATGAGTAAAAACAAGATACCTTGAACCAGGTCCTGAAGTTGCCATAAATTCAACAAAGCTCAGTTTGGGGCACATAACCCAGAATTTTTGCAAATTCTTACCTGATAAGGAAGAATTGGAATCGTATGCCTACTTCATGATATATAGAAAGTCCGTTAATCTTCTACCAAAAGTTTATTAGGACGACAAAAATAGCTTTACAGAGACGCACCTTAATTGCTAACCTAAGCCGAATAAACTTCCAATGAATGAATAACTACCACATACAGGGTTAACATGATCAAAATAAATTAGTTGTGCATCGTGGCTGACAGTGCTTTGATAGATCATTGACTTAAAAGCTATCATTACAAGAATCGATAAGCGTGAGCTCTAATACAATGGTTAGGCCCCCTTCATCCGTCTATCACTGCTGGCATCATTCTCAATGGTCGAATTTAGGGACCTACAGTAGCTTTATGTTCTAATCTATTCCACTGAATATCCACTTACTTGAAGTGATTAATTTGATACGACGATTCTGAGCTTATTGTCAGTGTGATTGTTATGCCTCCTGCTGCGTGATAATACCAACAAATCAAGAAGAGGTTTCAACTCTGACAACTCTCATTTTTTTTTATCTGCAATTAGGTAGGGCAAGTCCGGAAGAGTATACACGGGGGAGGTATTAACCATTCAAAATATCAGCAACACGCAGAAATCTAATGTGACATTGTCACACTAATATTGAGTAGCTATTGGTGTTCTCTACGATTTCGTGACAGGATGGTTCTAGTCACTTGGGATTAGATATCAATATTGTTAAGGTAGAAAAGAAAAATATACTATCATCAAAGCGAACAGCTGGGAAAGTCGAATTTCCCATTTTACATCCAAACCATGAATCGACCATCTTGAAAAAATACGTAGACTCTTTCGTACAACCTCCATTAGTAATCGGCAACCGGTTGTAGAAGAATCCATGTGCTTATTTCACTACCAGGCACCAAAATGTATCTTTTCAACAAAAAAATTGACGTTGCAAGATAGGTGTCCCATCTAATTCCCTCTTTATACTATCAATATGAACAACTATTGAAAGAGTATATTTGAAGAACATTATCGGCCATTCAAAAGAGAAGAAATGAGGCAATGATTTTGGTAGGAAACAAGAAAACTCTTAATCAAGTGATTTCGGGTAAAGCCCGTAATATTTTTATTTTAGTTATTGAATTTAAAATTGACGTTTTGGCACATATATCACATAAACATGAAACTAAAACGATATAGGGATACGACTTACGATGTTTTTCCACATAACGTGTATTACGTGGTATTATTTGAAGGCGAAAGAATAAAGCGTATTGACTTTAAAGCCATATTGATGAAGAAATTGTCTAACAAATTCAACTGTAAAATAAATTTGTCGGCGGATGAAAGGGCATATTATAAGTAATTCTACAAAAAAAATAACAGTAATATGAGTATGTATAGGTTATATTTGAAATGACCGATTCATTTGATCAATGCAAAACACTGCAAAAAGCTCATTTTCAATTTATCTGCTTGAACAGCTGTATTTTCAACTAATTATGTTAATTATAACGAGTTTTGATTATCGACACTGAATATAACATCTGAAACTTATCATGTCGACAATCCCCCATGCTCGTCTAGCCAATAAAACCACATGTACTGACAGGATTTTCTTTACTGTAAGCTTTTCAATCACAAAGGTGATCTTCAATACAATAATATATCTTATTTATCTGTCTCCTAGTCCATAGTTTGTTTGGCCAGACAAGCATGGGGATCATTATTCGCTTATTACAGCTGAGGATAAAATACCACACCCACGCAATATCTCCCGGACCTCCTCTATAGATATGAATTCAAAACAATTTCATCCCGGTGGCAGATATTAATCAGTTATCATCACTCCAGGAGTATCAAATGGGTACAAATATTAGGAAAGGTAATTTTCCAAACACCTCATTCCTTTGACAATAACGTGCACGATGCCCCATCTGATCCATATGAAATTGACTGGATCTAAAGAAACTACCGCGATTACGGTTAGATAAATGTGTAATTTTCCGATGATAATGACGTGAACTAGGCACATGGAAGTTTCGATCCCCATATGTGGACTAATCATTTATTAGCTATCATTCAGTAGATTGAATATTTATCAAAACTCCTATTATTAAGTTGGAATCTAACAATACTACTAGTTTTCAGAATAACTGTAATGATAATCAACTGAAGAAAACATGGAGTAAATGCTGAATCTATTATCGTAAGTAGATAACAGAACTTTTTGCAAAACTTGTCTACAGGATTTCTCACGTGAGATTAAACGCATTTACTAAAAACCCTATTACACAATTGCCGGAATAATCATATCACCTAACTCACATATCCTAATCTTAAATATATGGAATGCTAGTTTATAAATGCCAGACAGATTGGCTCCTAACTACTACGTACATGTAATATCATATCATGTAATATCTGTGTAGAAACTTAACGTTAAACGATTCAAAGTATGCGTTCCATTACATATTGATTTTTGAATCTAATAAAAGGCGTGATATAGATTGTGATGCTAACACACGTGGACTATTTGTGAAACTTTTTGCTCCTTACGAATCGTGGAATACCGAAATTATCCACGTTGGGAAAGAGAAGTACATCCCTCATACAGTAAACGCGTCTAAATGAGGGCCCAACGACTGGTCCAACAGAATATGAAGGCACCCAGAACCCCACTGACAAGCCGACGTGGAGGCCAGAAACAAATATAACCAAGCGGTCCGTAATGCCAAAGACCAGTACGATATAAAAGTTAGGCACAGGGTAATGTTGTAGCTCATTGGCAGTCGGTCTTTCTGGACGCTGGCCAAGCAGACTGAAAGGAACTTCTCACAGAGTAGCCCTCCACCATTCACGTGTCAGGATAGAACGATTGTAACCGCCTTAGAGGCTAAGGCGGAAGTGCTTGCCAAGATCTATGTTGACAACTCCACTATGGAAGTCCCCCAATGTCTGAGTGCCGTTGATTTAACACTACACTATGTGGGGAGTAACATTCAGGCACAAGACGGTAATACGGGTGATCTTGTCTTCTAGATATCTTGCAAATTCGGCACTTTCTCATACAACGAGAATTTGCTTATGTCCAAAACTTCTCAAGAAACGATCTAAGACCGCCCCTTACAACTACAGGCCAACAGCTCTGCTTTCTGGTATAAGTAAGGTGATGAAGAGGTGCACAAATAGAGAGTTTCTGGACTACCTTGAACGTCACGACTTGATTAGCGACAGGCGATATGGTTTGCGGCACCAGCAAACCACAGTTGAACTACTAGCTTAAGTCACGCAATTGTGGGGTAAACTCAGCGAGTCTTATGGTGCAGCTCAAGTGCAGCTGTAGATATGACCAAAGCGTTCGATCAGCTGAGGCACGCTGCGCTCTTATGCAAACTCCCAGAGAAGCTTTGCGGATGGGTGGCTGACTTTATCTCGGGCCACAAGATATCCGTCGTAATTGACGGGCTTTCCTCTTCATCCCACAACGCCAACTCGGGTGTTCCCCAGGGATCGGTCTGGCTCCGACACTCCGACTCTTAAATGTCAACGGCCTCCTCTCCTGTGCGAGCAACTCAATCTGCAGCTTTGCTGATGACAGCACTCCACATGCAGGAATTCTCTGCCGGTGAGCTGGAAGAAAGAAGACTAGCAGCGACCTATTTTCTGGAGAGAAACCTGGGACGCAACAATATTGTACAGTTTAATTCTTCCAGAACACAGTACTGTACCTTGACGATCGGTTTCGAGGGATGGCCGAGTTATGCCAAAGAGCTGTTCATTTCGGCTGGCCAGAGTCCAAATCACCGAGAACTTGATCTGGCATGAACACAGCTCATCAATAGCTGGAAAAAATCTAGGCAATTTGTTTAGGGCTAAGAAGTAAGTTTCTCCACATGGCCTCGTCACTTTATACAAGTCCTAGATAAGTTCTAGCCTCGAGTGTTGCTTCTCGTTTGGGGTGCTGCCGCCCCAACAAAATTATTCATGTTTGATGCTGTCAAGGGGAGGACTGTTTGATACCAAAGGAGAGCTCTTTTCTTCCATGATGCCGCCGCACGATGTGCCTGCCCGACAGATCCGCCCGACTTCGGTCTCTCATCCTAACCGTCACGAGCTTCGTACATCCAGGACTGACCGATAGAACCGCTCCTTTGTCCCTGGGGTGTCTAGATTGTAGAACAATCTACAAGCGAGACTTTTCCTAGTTCTTCTAAACTTAGGCAGTTCAAAAATCGGATTAGCGAATTTTGTTTGGGATCCTCGTAGCAGCCGCGGTATCCTGGCATTCAGACTTCTACCTGCTCGCCTGCTTCGGTGTAAAAGAATACATTCGCAGGTGTGCCCCCGCATGGTAACGTGATACAAACAGTTGTTGCTAAAATATGTTTTAATAATCTTTTGCCAGCTTTCAAAACAGCTCACTTGCTGCTTAACAATGTCTCATTCAGTGAGTTGTTCTAATGTCACACTGTCAGACATCATATTGCATCTTATTTGACAAAGTAGGTACTTGTTATCCGTAAAAAGTGGTAAGGATCAAATGACGTTAATCATCTTCAATGAAAACTGAATGACAGACTCAAAAACTGATGTGTTTGGTAAGCTTTAGTAAGATAGTAGCATCTTAACTTGCTATCTTACGTAATGTTAGTACAGGGTGGCCAATATATAACTGACTGATTTAAATTGCGCGTCATTTTTAATACACGCATTTCAGTAGATAGCACACTAGTAGTTGTTTAAAGCACATGTGTCCAATTCATCATGGAGCGCTACACGATCCCACAACTCGTCCGTATTCCTAAAACATTTTACTTGAATAATGAGTCGATTGTTGAAACGATTCGGAAGGTACGACAAGATTTCGGTAGAAATAATGTGCCTAGTGTTTACACCATTCGTCAGTTGGTGGGGAAATTTGAACAAACAGGTGAAGTTAAAGACACAAAAGGTCTTTTGCGAACAATATTTCCGGGCCGTATTTCTCGATTTGGTGATGTCAACTTGCCACCAAGGTCACTGGGTTTAACGGCTGCTAGCAAATAGGGTAGAGCAGCTGAAAAATAATATTACGGAAGCGATTGAAAATATTCCTCCCGAAACCTACCAAAAAGAGGACTCAGGTTTGAGAGGCTTCTAGAGGCGGACATTTGTTTGTTATTATTTTTTATACATAATTTCTAAGTTTCAGTAAAAGAAGTGGACGAAATTTTATTTCATTTCACAAATATTCAAGATACAAACCAGTCAGTTACATATCGACCACCCATAAGTACTAAGTATTTAAAAGCAAAGTATCTCGTACATTTCAGTAATCGTCTTTTTTGGTAATGAATCACGATACAAACGAGATGTTGAGGAAAAATTGTTGCGGCGATCGAACAGCAGTGAGCATTTTTCATGTTACTTTGAGGCTGCTCTTAGAAGAATCTAAGTCTACGCACACAGAAACACAGATATTACAATGTTATCCTAACACAAAGAGTATCACAGTTCGAAATTTATTGAGATGACTCAGCATTACCAATAATGTTTCTACTTTCGGTATCTTTATTCCACCCATCTCTATATACCTGGCTTATGTAATACTGAGCTTAAGTACTAATACAATGATAATACATTTTTGAGATAAGACATTTTAACCTATACTCCAGGCTACATATTCAATAACATTGTTTCTGTTACTAATTCAATATATGTATCTTACACCTTTTTTTTACTCAACACAGTTTTCATCAGCCAGTAAACCAGTTTCGAAAAATTCCTGGGACTTTTTAAATGCAAGTTTCATATTCCAAATCGGTAACAGAAAAAAGAAGTAATACTATCTAGCATTCCATAAATCATCCTATGTTTCATCACATTCAACAGTTTTTTGCTGCTTCTACTCTATCATCCGTGATGTCTATGAAGCTGAGTTCGTGTTTCAACATCTTTGCAACGAACTGCTCGACGCTCTCGTTGGTGATTTCCACTCCATATTCCATGACAGCAAATCGCCTGTTAAAATAGAGGATGTTATTAAAACAAATAGACTAAAAGACTGACATCTTGATGGTTGGTCTGCATATGACGTTAAAAATTCAAAGCTATATGTGCCATACTAAGTTTGAACAAGAAGTTCGATTATGACCTTGGATTTGTCCTTGAATCTAACATTTAAGGTTATTTCAATAAGAAACATTTGTTTTTTAAGTAAATACCAGCAACCGAAAGATGGACGAATTCTACGACCGAATACGTATCAATTTCATAGATCATAGTTACCTCTAAAGGTAAGATGAAGGTCAAATCTGTGAAGCTATGGAAAAGTTCTACGTGTTTAGCGCGATTATCAGACTTTTTGTAAAATTCAATATTGATCTTGAATTTGACTTTGAGCCTCATCTTCCAGGTCAAAGTAGAACACGGGAACGTATTAGAACGTACTACCGTTGTCAAAAACGCAAAAAGTTCAAAATAAAAGTTGACCTTGAAATGAGTGAAGGTGAGATACAGGATTGAATTTTCGGTATCTTAAGGAGACCTTTCACTTGAATAGCTTTGAAGGTGTGAGATCAAAGATCACCATTGAGCTGCGTGTTAAAAGTTAATATAGACCTGGCCATGACCTTTTCCAAAAACATTGCATCGAAAAATACAGAGAATGTTCGTTAGTTTTGTTACACCAGTATGTATGGTTATGTAATTGCAAGGCTATACAGGGTGTCCGCAAAGTTGGGGTTTTCCTTTACACGACGTGTAGATCTTGAAAACGTAAGCAATTTTTCTTAGTACCATATACACCAATGTCTTAAGGGAACCGAGATAAAGGGCTCTGCAACATCAAAAATATCTGAATACCGTCCTGTAGCCACGACCCGCGATATCACCCAGTGGTACAAGGTCAGCTCAACCCGACGACAGAACTGGGTCGGGGTCAGTGTGTCAGGTCAGTATGCAACCTTCAACCGACGGTTACGGTCACGCGTGTAGAGGTAATCGCGTAGACGAGAATCCCTCAACAAGCACTAGAGACGTGGCTAGAGAAGTGCGAGTATCAAAAACTGAAGTGTGGTAAACGCTGCGTGAAGAGGGGATGTATCGGTTTCACGTCCAACGTGTACAAGCCCTTCAACCTGACGATTTTCCAGCAAGAGTGCGGTTTTGTGAGTGGTTGTTGCATCAACATGACAATAATCCGGACTTTTTGAGGTGCATATTGGTGACAGACGAATCTACGTTCACGTGTAATGGGGTGAATAACTTTCGCAACACTCGTGTTTGGTCAGTAGAAAATCCGCACGCTGTCCGTCGGGCACATTTTCAACAAACATTTTCGGTGAATGTTTGGGCTGGCATGGTGCGTCTTCTCGGTAGCGCACCAGCTGATTTCATTTTCTGTTGGAGCGGTATGATTTCGGGCAGAGACGTACTTAGCCCTTCTCGTCAACTGGAGAGTGAGTACTTTTTCCTTTATTTTTTTTACTTGGTCGCCCTCGTTTCACCACACATTACCTTTGTTATTTCAAGGGTAGTTGTAGCTTTGACTTGTTCGATAATTTGCTATAACATTGTATAGATAAGAATAATAGAGATGAAAATAGTAGTTACAGTTCACAAAAGTAATAATATAGTTTGGGTAAGACCAGCCACTATCTTTTATTTTATAGGTTAAAATGATAAGGAAATTAAGAAGCTCTTAAAGTATTTTATACTGATCGCTCAGAGAATGAGGTGGTGCTAGAATTTGCATTACGGAACTAGTTTTAGATTAAACTGGAATGATTTACGCTTAAACATTGATATTATGAATGAAATTCCGTTTTATGAACCACGCAGTGCCACAGTGAGTATATCATAATCCGTAATGAAACTTATTATTCTACATTTTCGCGACGCTTACTTCACTGCCTAGTTATTTCTACACAATGAAACTTATTGCAAAAGATGGTGAAGATAATATTGGGCGAGAAACCAGTATTACGAAGCTAACTCCACCATTCAAGAAATTGGTTTCATAACATAAACTCATGCATAAACCCAGTTACACCACTTGTTTCATCAATCAAGCTCGTATTATTATTATAAGACCAAATCAGTTTCTCGAGCCACAATACTGCTGAACGACACTACTATTATACAGAGGCTTCAGCCTATAATATTTATTTGTTTGTTTGGAACAATACAACAATTGCATAACATAAAGGTTTAGCAAAACAAAACTTGCTTTCTAAGAATTTTCATTGTCTATGGAATGTTCCCTTGCTTTTCTTCTAAACATATTCAAATTACAAGTAGACCGTATCATTATTTACTTTATTAGCTTCAAATATGAAACATTGATTTGCTAGTTATATTTCAGTTGCAATTATAATATAATGAATATATTTATTCTTGTATAGTAATTGAGGTAATGATTATTGATGATTTTTTATTTCAATTATAAAAACAAGAATCAAATATGATATGAAGTTTTTTATAATTATCAATTGCAACTCTTATGACATAGTTTTTATTTTGGTATACTTATTATTAAACAATATTATTCTCATAGCTTTATTCTGAAGGTACTTGTAACTATGATGATACAGGTTTGCTACTATTACGGACAAAACTATTGTTGTGAAAATGCTTGCAGCACAAGAAGCTTGAATGTGAATGCTTCTACTGGTTATTGTGATACAGAAAGATTTCTGACACTGGATGTATATCAATCGTTTTTTTGATGTCATAAAATTGAGTACAACGTGAATGGAACTAGTTTTGCGTTTCAGATCAAACAATGACACTTTTATCTCGGGAAATAGCTTTCCAGGGACTACAGCCCAAACGGCTTTTGTAATTTTACCCGGAAACGCTCAGTCGCTGGTCTGACAGAAACGGGTGAGGTTATACATATACACCTATAAACAGGATATTTGATTGGTGCATTTCGACATTCATTTTCTTAGCACGGTAGTCTTGATTTAGAGTTGATTGCCTATACAGCCTTTCAGCATCTAGTCTGAACCAAAGTACGGAGAGACGAAAATATTTGTACAATTACACTCACTGATACCTGAGGAAGGTTATAGGGATTGTTTTATCCGCGCACCCATTGTCAATTTTGTAATAAACTGTGTAGGCAGTACCAAAATCTTTACCATCCGCATCAAGCTAACGCAAGCTACTAACGCAAAAAATTGTTATTGAGTAATGTTATGAACTTCCGGTTACGGTTTGTATTTTTTTTAAACTCCAACTACCACGAAGGCCTAAAAGGCCTAAACACCCATTGGGTACCGTGGGGCTTTAGCGGGATAGAGGGGAAAGGGGGAATGCCACACGGACTCTGGGGGGAAAGGAGGAACACGTGTGCATGCAACAACACAGATCCGCCGGGTGGTACCTCCGCGTTCGACAGTCTTTTTTTTTATACTCCAACTACCACGAAGGCCTAAGGCCTAAGCACCCATTGGGTACCGTGGGGCTATAGGGGGATACATGAGAAAGGGGGGGGGGGGACGCCACACGGACTCTGGCGAGGGAACACGTGTGCAGGCAACATGCACACATTCTGGCTCCGCCGACGAAATCTGCCGGGTGGTACCTCCGCGTTCGAAAGTCAGAAACCGTCTACCACCTACGGTGGCATTTGTAAATTGACTGCCAAATTGAATGCTTGTGAAGCTTATTTTATTATTAGAGACGCGGGTAAGACCGCTAGTATTACCTGTTTGGTAAATCAACGGCAATCAGTAAGGGCATCACATCATCCAACCCGATTAGATCTCGAAGTATATCTGAAGTTTCACCGTCTACTCCAATCAAGAATTGGAGGCATGGATCATCTTGACAGCCAAGAAAGAAGTCCTCTTGAGCTGAACTGAAGTTGATGTTGTTGATTTTGTAGTAGTTTTCCGCGGCGGGTGTCAGTACTGATTCGGCAAACTGGACCTCAGTGTCTTCTCCATCTGGAACAACATACTCTGTGTATGAACTATGTTCATTGAGGATGATTTTTCGAAAAATCCCTACTTTATGCTCCTTTTTTACGGTTAAGGCTATAAAGAACTTCTAACTTGTTTTTCCCCTAGGCTAGCTGGCTTAGACAACCGAGTGTTCATATAATTGAAAACTAGCGCGGTATGCTAAAAAAAAATAATTCCATTTTGTTTCAATGTGAAAAGTTTAGATTTTTTGCAGTATCATCTACCCAGTCTTCTGGAAGATGTGCCTTTTGAAACAAGAAGAAGGATGTGGTTGCAGAATGATAGGTGCCCTGCACACTATGCTAGAGCAGTAAGGCGATATCTTGATGAAATATTCCCTAGAAGATGGATTGGCTGGCTAGGACCAATTTTGTGGCATATACGCGCCGCAGAGCTAAGCCCTCTGGATTTTTTACCGAGGATGTTTGAAAGATAACGTCTTTGAAAAACCAGTTCGATCAGCCGATGAACTGCGTTATCGAATCCGCCAAGCAGCTCGCAAAATATCCTATTTAGGTTTCAGACGTTTCAAATGACAATTTTCAAGAAGATGCAGGTTGTGTATAAGAGTCGATGGTAGACATTTTGAAAATCTCTCTGGCGTGTTCTTTCTGTGACACCCTGTATACTAGTTTCTTCAATAGCGAGTACTATAGCATATCGTTTGCACCTGTGGCGACTCGACTGACAATACGAACTGAGATACAGTTTCAATCTCAAAATGGCCCATTCTGGTAATAGATGGCATTTTGTGCTGTCTTATTCCGATAGATCTTATACTCTGGAGGGTAGCTGCTCAGCGTTCGTTTACTATCCTATCTGAGCCCAAGCCTAGACCATTCTGAGAAGTTGCCAAATAGCACGAAAAAGCTATCGGCCAAACGAATGCTATATTGCTAACTTGGAAATCTTACTTACCTCAGAGTCTCACAGCATCAAGTATTAGATCTGAGGATTCTGACGGAAATGAAACTACAGATGATCCTAGTTTATTATATGATAAAGATCATTCATTTTCTGAACAATTTTGAAAATAAAATCCATAAAGCAAATTAGTTATATTTGGTTATTATTATTATTTGTGTAGATATTTGGAAGACTGTTCTTTGAGTTTTATTCATTGTTATACTATAAAAAACATACCAATAACCAAAAATATGGATTATTTGGTTCAGAATAAATTCCAATCTCTGTATAATTTTGACCACCCAGATCACTCGAGCACCTACGCTACCAGGAAAATTTGCTCTGGCTCTGGAAAGGAATTTCACAACTCTGAGAACATTCTGAATTAATCAATACAGGCACCCGAGTTAATTTGTTAATGGTAAATCAATGAATGGATTATTGCATGTTCAATGACAGACTTACCTACAAACAACACCACCGCTGGATAATCATACAATTTCGTTAAATACCGTTCTGTTAGCATATTTACAGGCCTTGGTTTCCATGGGAAGTTCTGAAACGGATAGTAATGAATAAGTATCATAACGACAGTAATGCTGAAAAGGTGCGGAAATTTGTATTTTTTAATATTTCCTATAAAATGTTAAAGTGATTTACTTTACAACAGCGAACAAACAGCAGACAATTATAACACAGCAGCGTCAATAATTGGATATATAGATTGATTCAGAAAAAACATAGCAACATAAATGGGGCATAAAGTAGATCAAGAAATCTAGACGAAATGTTCGTGTAAACATGTAACCTGAAATGCGCACCTACCGAAATATAGGGTGTTAAGTAGAGTTGTTCAGTTTTCGTTCGTTGTCCACCGAGACCAAGCCTACACTATGCTGAGGAGTTGCCAAATAGCACGAAACAGCTGTCCATGGTTGGCTGTCTATGGTCGGACGGACGAAATCCATATACAGGGTGTTGAAGTTATAATTTCGATGGTAAATATATATCTTTGAAGTGGATGAAGATATTGACTTAAAAATTTGTACATGTGGTACCAATGATATAACCATCACATATCAAAAAATGTATCTGAGACTACACCAGTGACGTAGAATTTGGATAATTTTACGCCTACAGAAGAAAAGAAAAAATTATTCTCTTCGCCACTGACTTTTTGTAAACTTTCATTGCACTTTTGAATAATGTATTCAATTTTACATGAATCGCCTCCGTTAAGAAATTTAGAGATTTTTAGGAAAAACATGTTGCGAATATTTGAGATTAAATCCGTATAAAAAAACTTTAACCCATTCTATTCAGTGACATTTGACATTATGCGTAACTGCTTTTTATACTTGAGCCACCTCGCAGGCCTAAGGCCTTAATATCTGGGGGTACCGTGAATTATGTAGTCGGAACTTCAAACTTCGTTTTTAAAAAACTTTATTTGGTTCCAACAATAGTTTACTGGACCGAACCGGAATTACAGTGTGTGTGTGTGTTCGCTGTGACCGAGATTGAATGACTGACTCATAATTAAGATACAATCGTTAATATAAACCAAAAGTGATGAGCTAGTAAAAAGGAATACAATACAATTATTATATCAATTAATAAACTGTTAAATGACAACAACATAACTGGTGCTATAGGGGAGATAGAGGGAATGGGAAGAGTGTGCACGTGACTCGCATACCTTCTGGCCTCGCATCACAGTTCCGCCAGGTAGTACTTCCGCACTTGACAGTCAGACCGCCTCCCTGTATACCATCTACCGCCATAGCGTTACTTGAGCAATGTTAATGATTTATCCTCATTTATTTTTTCGTTATTCTTGGATATGCTCCATACTCTTGAAAATACTGCCACATTTTTATGAATCACCCTATACACAACCTAAATACCCCAACAAAGTTTTTGCATCTAATGTGGAGCATGTAAAAAACTGACTTCGCTCTTTTCAAAAGCTTATACCGATTAAATGTCAAATATCTGAATCTCGACTCAAGGTATTAAAAACTGATTGATTTGAAAACGTGAGTTGATGAATTGATCCGTAGATCGTAATCTAAAAGAAATCAAAAGCACACCAGTCCGACTTCAAAGAACGAATTACAGTCATTTCATCTGAGAAGACTTTTTTATTCATACTTGATTTGATTACTACTTAGACCCATTCAAGGACATGACTTGTCGAATAAGAGGTTAATGTGAATTAAAAGAGAGACTCTGATTGGATAAGGATACTGGATAAAACGTTGAAGGGTGCTTTTTTCATTTGCGGACATTTATTGTATATCTTCCTGATCAGCAGTTTTATTTTAATTAAAAGTTGCACACTGTTCAAATCTTAAAATTAATCAGTATCGTTCATTTATTTTAACTGTCAGAGAAAATAAATTGTACATCTATCTAGAATTTTTAATACTGGTTTTATAGATCATCACCGCTCTCCCTCGAACCATAACTGGGATGACCTACTCGAATACCTCGCCGTCCAGATCGACTTCCTGAACATCAATCACCCCGCTTCAGAGGTAGTTCTTGTCGGTGATTTCAATGCCCATAATGAGCTTTGGTTGGGCTCAAATAAGACCGATGCAGCAGGTCGTGCAGTCGAAGCGTTCGCTCTTACTCAAGGGCTGACCCAGCTGGTGACGAGCCCTACTTTTTTCCCCCGCGTCTCGTCACACGCCAGTAGCCTGCTGGATCTCTTTCTGACCACTCATCCTGCCCCTTACAGCACTGCTGTCCTGTCCCCCCTGGGTAACTCAGATCACGGTGTTGTGGAGGTTAGGTTTCGGTCAGAAGCCGCTTTGGCAGCTGAAACTCGCACAGGCCGCAAAACTTGGCATTACGGACATGCCGACTGGGCGGCGCTCAGAGACTTCTTCTCTAGCTGTCCTTGGAGAGATGTCTGTTTCACTGACGCGGATGCGTCAACTGTCTGTTCTTCAATAACCGAAATTATCCACGTCGGAATGGAGGAATACATCCCGCACACAGTGAAAGTTCCTAAATCAGGATCCAACGGCTGGTTCAACAAATCGTGTGTCACTGCTCGCCAGCAGAAGATCAAGGCCCACAGAACCTACTTACAAAATCCCACTGTAGAGAACAGACAAGCCGACGTCGAGTCCAGAAACAAATATAACGAAGCGGTTCGCAATGCCAAAAACCAGCATGATATAAAAGTTAGGCACAGGGTAATGTCGCAACGCAATGGCAGTCGGTCTTTCTGGACGCTGGCCAAGCAGATTGAAAAGAACTTCTCACACAGTAGCCTTCCACCACTTACGTGTCAGGATGGAGCTATTGTATTCGAGTCAAAGGCCAAGGCGGAAGTGCTAGCCAAGATCTTTGCTGCCAACTCCACCATGGACGTCCCCACCAACGCCCAAGTGCCGTCAATTCAAAGGGTTCCCCACACTATGCGGGAGGTAACATTCAGGCACAAGACCGTAAGACGAGTGCTCTTGTCGCTCGACATCAACAAAGCTTCTGGTCCGGACTTGATTCCTGCCATTGTACTGAAGAGATGTGCAGCGGAGGTTGCTCCAGTTCTTTCGCGTCTCTTCCAGATATCTTATGAATCCGGCACCTTCCCAGAAAACTGGAAATTTGCTTATGTACAGCCCATCCCAAAAAAAGGATCTAAGACCGACCCTTACAACTACAGGCCTATAGCTCTGCTTCCTGTTATAAGTAATGTGATGGAGAGGTGCATAAATCGCGAGCTTCTGGACTACCTCGAACGTCACAGCTTGATTAGCGACACACAGTACGGTGTCCGGCACCAACGATCCACAGGGGACCTCCTAGCTTACGTCACGCAACTGTGGAGTAAACTCATCCAGTCTCATGGTGAGGCTCATGTCGTTGCTCTTGACATCACGAAAGCGTTCGATCAGCTGTAGCACGCTGCCCTCTTAAGCAAACTTCCATCCTACGGCCTCCCAGAAAAGCTTTGCAGATGGGTGGCTGACTTTATCTCTGGCCGCAAGATATCCGTCGTAATTGACGGATTCTCCTCTTCATCCCACATCGTCAACGCGGGTGTTCCCCAGGGATCGGTCTTGGCTCCAACACTGTTTCTCTTACATATCAACCTCCTTTCCTGCACGATCAACCCAATTCACAGCTTCGCTGATGACAGCACTCTACATGCAGGAATTCAGAGTGACAAGCCGATCTCTGCCGCTGAGCTGGAAAAAAGAAGACTAGCGATGACTTCTTCTCTGACAAGAGACCTGGAGGCTATCACTGCTTGGGGACGCAACAATCTTGTACAGTTCAATGCTTCCAAAACACAGTACTGTACTTTGACGAACAAAAAGCGTCCTAGCGCTCATACAGTTTCGATGGACGGTCGAGTTCTACCAAAGAGCCATTCATTTCGGCTGGTCGGAGTCCAGATCACCGAGGACCTGATCTGGCACGAACACATCTCTTCAATAGCTGCAGCTGCTGGGAAAAAGCTAGGCTATTTGTTTAGGGCTAAGAAGTACTTTTCTCCGCATGACCTTCTCACTCTGTACAAGGCCCAGATAAGGCCTAGCCTCGAGTATTGCTCACACATTTGGGGTGCTGCCGCCCCGACTACATTGTCCATGCTCGATGCTGTCCAGAGGAGGGCGGTCCGACTGATCGATGACTCTTCTCTAACAGACAGTCTCGGGACTCTTTCGCACCGGCGGTTCGTCGGCGATCTAGCTCTTTTCTATCGCTACACCAACGGGCTTTGCTCCTCAAAGCTCTCTTCCATGATGCCGCCGCGCGATGTGCCTGCCAGACAGACCCGCCTGACTTCGGCATCCCATCCTAACCGTGTCAAACTTCGTACATTCAGAACTGGCCGATACGACCGCTCCTTTGTCCCGAGGGTGTCTAGATTGTGGAACAATCTACGGGAGGAAGCTTTTCCCAGTTCTACTAACCTTAGGCAGTTCAAAAATCGTATTAACAAAATTTCTTTGGGATCATCATAGCAGCCGCGGTGTTCCGGCATTTAGGTCTGCCTGCGCGGCTGTTTCGATATAAAAAAACCACAATATCCGTTGTGCTTTCATGAATGTAATGTTTGACAAAGTTTCTTATTTCAGATGTTAAGGAAAGCGGTTCTCTTCTTTATCCAGCGTTAACTATGTGTAGAAATATTTGCTCACCTCTATTTCGAAAGCTATGGAAATGATTTTAGCTTTAGTAGACATTTCATGCGACGAGTAACAGTAGAAACTAATCGAAGATTCTACACAGCTACTTCAATGTGTGTTAGTGGCTTTAATAAAGTTATTTAATTACTTGTGCTAAAGGGTCATCAGCCAGTTCAGCCCTCGCGTCCATTGTGATGATGTGACCGTTGCTGTCTAGTAGTAGCAACGTAGGAATGCCTCTTACTCCATACAATTGGGCCAGTTCGGACCTGACTGCAGTCTGCTGAAATGGAATCGCCAACCAGGGCATATTCTCCACGTAGGCACTGTAGGATTCTTGACTTCTGTAACGAAAAATAATATCATCTATGGCAAATGCCACGCGATCAGTATTTATTTATTTACTGTTGTTGGAACCACCAGTATTTACTAATAATTCCTTCAGTATCAGTGGATTTCCACATAACCTGCATCAGCAACAACTGGCTGCACGGTCAATAGATATTAAATTCCATGATAAATACTAATGGATCAGAGTAAATACTGATCGTATGGCACTTAGTGTTTATCGAATGTTCTTTTAAGCGCCACATAAGTTATCAAACCTATTGCCAACTTTTACTTGGATATGCGTGTTTTGTGAAAAAGTTAGAGTTTGATTGGAAGGTGAATCCATTGTGGCTGTCGAGATGGAACTGTAAAACTTTTCTATGAAAAATACATCTGACTTTTCCTACAAGATTTATTTATACTGTCAGCAACGCCTGAAAACTGGAGGAAAATGAAATTTTAAAATCCTTGAAAACATATCAGATAAATCGGAACTTTTAAATATAATTTTCCACGACTGCAGTTAGCAGGAAAAGTCTCCTTCAGTTTTAATATTGGGACGCACATCCGCTCATAATAGATGGCCGTATCACAATACCCAGCTGGCTATGAGCTGTATGGACCACTGTAAAAGCATTTTCAGTTTCTGCACGCGTGTCCCCGAGAAATGAAATCCGGATTTCTAGAGACTCATGACACTCTTGGGAAACAGGATTTTGCACAGCAGTCAAGTAAATTGAATATGTAGTCGATGTTTATTAAAAAAATAAGCATTCTGTCATTTTATTTGTCTCCAAAAAATTTTTCAAGCAGAACTTTCTACATCAACAGTGAGACACTGTTATTTTTAATAAAATGCTCAATTATGTCATATCAATGTAGCTATCAAGTGATTTATGACGTATTTCTTGATTTAATATGGGAAGTAGAGGCCCATCTTACACAAACTGTGTAATTATTATCTAGTTTAAGAGACAGTTTACAAGAAATTGAAAATAGTCATTACATCCATTACTTCAAAGACGCCTTCTCATTCGTTGAATTTGTGTCCGACGCGCTGTTTTGCGCCCCGAATAGTGCCTACGGGTGACATTGTTAGGCGTTTCCCGAGAATTCAGTTCCATTTGTCACTTGATCTCTCCACGGATTTTAAACAAAGAACATTCAAGGCATGATTGAACATATTTCATAGTGGTCACAGGTTTTCAGAATTTGGAAAATTTTCAAAATGTTCGAAACTAGCACGATTTTCGCATATTTGAAATTTTAAAAGATACCAAAATTTTGAAAATTGTGAAAATTTTTAAAATAAAAAAATTAAAATTCTAGTTTTCAAGGAAGCGTTGCTTTTTTTGCTTAAAATCTAAGGAGAGATCAATCCCCATCCCGAACTCAATTCTCAAGGAACGTCTCTAAATATGGCCCTTCTCTTCTCTTTTCTCTGGAATATATCCTTCAAATTCTGGACCTTATATTCATCTTCCATTGCTGTAGTTGACCCAAAGCGATCGAATCGGAACGCTGTTTAGAAAAAAGTCTTCAAGTAGGTTTACTGTGTACCTCGCATTCAATGCTGCATGAATGTAGAGACGCAACAAGCAAATCGAATAAATCAAATAAAAAAACATGGATTTAGGCAAAACTTCGCTATGTTTAAACAAGCATCTTTCAATACGAATAATAATATATGCCTCAAACTCATATTCATAAAAGATATAGCATTTCCAAGGTTGCCTAACAATTGCGTATTGGAGTTAAAGGGTATTGAAAAATTATAAATTATAGCTAAGATTGCTCAGGGACATATTAAACGTTGATACAGTTTTCTCTTCCATCTTTTGTCCATAACTCTCACACCACTTAGCCGGATTTCAAAATTTGAGCCTGTTTGTCTTTGTCATTGATTCTTCAAAATTCGTGGTACTTTACAAAATATAGAAGGATCCGTGATTAGCAGAGAATCAAGAAATAGACAACATACAAAGAGACCCAGGCAAAAAGAGGCATGGTTTCTTGTGCAACTTATGCTGTGGTTTTTATGTCCATAATCACCCACATTTGTTTGACCAATGAAACCACATATACTTGAGAATCTTCATTAATGCAGTCTACGTTTCGGTCACAAAGGTGACCTTCTTCAGTACATAACACTTTTGAAAATATATTATTTATCTTCTAGATGAGGCTTCGCTTGCTTTTTTCTTTTCATTTCCAGATTCCTATTCACTGTGTTACTAAACTAGTCTTGAATGTCTGTAACATGCTGGGACTGCGCGAAGAGATCATTTCAAATTTCAAGATGGCACAGCGCAAAACCAGCATATACCAGGACCGCCTCTAGTAGGCATACCCGCCCCCAAAAAGACGTTTGGCCCCCCAACAGACGTTGTCCGTCGATTTTCAATGTGGCCAGATGTTCGTTCGAAATTCCAGAAACACCAAAAGCCCTCCAAAGAGCTCAGAAACTCCGGTTGTCGTAACACACCGGTTAATTGTTATGCAATATTCGACTAAAATGTTGCAACTGTATTGTTTACGGAACTACAACGCGAGAAATAGCTTTTCGACATTTAAAGGGAACCATGTTGTTTGACCAGTGAAAAACAATATGTGACAACAGTTTAGCCTTGAGATGGCGATGTAAAACATCTGGACGTTTAAGATCCAGCTACAAATAATGAAAAAAAACCTAGATAAAAAGCCATTGGGTAGGTTTGTGAATATCAACTACAGTATATTCAGGTAAGAGATAGACCGGATGTAAACAAAAGGTTCGGGTGATTTTCACGCTAACGCCGCCGTCTCGACGTAAAACAGGAGCTCTCATTGGTCAATTCGCAATTAAATGCCTATGCCGAGCGGCAGAGCAGTCGTATCAAGGCAGAGTCACATTCAGGTTCAGACGTGTTACGTATGTCGTGTGCATCATTGCAATTTGATATTTCTTTAGACGTTTTCGTTTGTTATCTTATTAAGTTGTTGAGTTTGTCGTTGTTATTGTTATACCTTGTTATTGATTGTTATTGTTATCAACTGCTTGCGCAAAATGCCCAGTAGTACAGATACTGCCGATGAAGTTGTAAACTCCTGTAGTCCACCTAAGAAACGCTCTAAAAAAAGACACCTGAGTGCAGAAATGAAAGAGGTCATTTTGAATATATATAAGATCGAGCGCGAGGAGAACGAGGCATCAACCATCAAAGAACTTGTTGTGAAGGTTTCTCACAAAGTTGGGGTGTGTCGCACATCAGTGTTTAATGTGTTAAGACAATACAAAAAAAATCACACCTTTTCTGAGCCAATGACCAGTAAACATCGCAAAAGTATTGTTAAATCATTGGATGAAGCTGATAAGCATGCGATTAGGAGGAAAGTGCATGAATTCTTCTTTAGGAATGAAATACCTACTATAGATAAAGTACTGCAGGAGGTAAATGGAGATACAACGTTGCCAAATTTCAAACGATCAACTTTCCATGCGTTACTGAAGCATTTAAATTTCAAATGGAAAAAACGGGGTCGTAATAGTTTACTACTGGATAGAGAAGAAATTGTGCTATGGAGGAGGGATTATTTAACAAAAGTTGGGAAATATAGAAATCAAAACAGGAAGATTTATTACCTTGATGAAACGTGGGTAAACGCAGGACACACTACAAGTAAAGTATGGATTGATGATTCTGTAACTTCATCCAGGAGGGCCTTTCTAGATGGACTGTCCACCGGATTAAAAAATCCAGCAGGTAAATAGACAACAATCGGATGTTTTTCAAACCTTGGGAACAAGGTTCTAAACATTAATTCCAGGGGGCAGATAAAACATATTACAAGTAACAAAACTTTTATAACTTTCGATAAAATGCGTGGATGTTTTATTGTCATTTTCATTTGTTAGAACTTTTTTAAGCCATGTTTTTATGTGTTTTCCATATTTCAATAATTTTTTAATATAATCTTAAAATATGTCGAATATTATAAACTTAAAAAAAGTTACTAAGTTTTATATTGTGTACCGTTGCTAATATTTCTAATCATTTTAATTCATACTTTAAGCTTTATAAAGTTATAATTTGTTAATATTAATATTTGCGCGTATTTCAGGTTCCTGATCATTCATTTTTTAAAGGTTTATAACTTTAAATTAAATTGTGAAGCGCTGAGTAATCATACGACGTTCAATATTCTTTCTTTCAATATGACTAAATAATCCCAATTATAGCAATCTGATACTCATGTCTCAATGTTTTTTCGCTGAATGTGATGAAAACATTTGAAAAAGGTTCGCTTATTGAAATAAATCTACACCAGTTAGTACTTCGATTTCCAGGTAAAGGGAAAAGGCTCATTATCTGCCATATTGGCAGTGAGGATGGATTTGTTGTTGACGGTCTGTGGTGCTTTGAGTCTAAGAAAACTGGAGATTACCACGAGGAAATGAATGGCGAATCGTTTGAACAGTGGTTTTCAAAAATTTTACCGAACTTAGAGGAAAACGCAGTAATTGTGTTGGATAATGCGCCTCATCATTCTCGAAGAATGGAGAAGGTCCCAGCAACGGCTTCAAGGAAAGTTGATGTTCAAAATTGGCTCCGCTCGAAAAATATCAACTTTGAAGAAGCAATGCTGAAAGTACAATTATTAAGAATTGTCAAGGATCACAAGGCGGAATATCAAAAATACGCCATTGACGAAATGGCAGCAAGTCAAAATAAAACTGTGCTCCGTTTACCTCCATACCATTGCGAGCTCAATCCCATTGAGCTCATATGGGCAGAGGTTAAAAATTATATAGCTAAGCACAATACAACTTTTAAATTTTGTGACCTCAAAGGACTTTTCAAAGAAGCACTAGAATTAATAACAGCGCAAAAATGGGAAAACTGTATTAAGCACGTGAAAGACAAAGTTGAAAAGAGAATGTGGGAACTGGACAATATTTTAGAGGAACAAGTCGAGCCATTCATTATTGACGTTGGTGCTTCAGGCAGTAGCGATGATGAAAGCTCATCAAGCTCATCTTTCCAATAAAAGATGTCGTTCATCAAATTCGGTAAGTTATAAGTAATTATAAAGCTACTGTATTTTTTAATTAATTATTGACATTTTTGAACCCATTTTGGCAAAACCTATT